CAAAAGCTCGAGGCTAGCAGGACGATATTATCCGCGTAGTGTAGATCAGTCAGCCGGCGTTCGAATTTAGGCTCGACACCGTCCTCTTCGTGTAGGGCCTTCCCGAAGATCCAGTCAGTGGCGTAGTTAAACAGAATGGGCGACAGGACGCAGTCTTGTTGAACACGGAACTGGAGACCGGACGGTTGGTAGGGATTGTTGTGAGCAAGAACTCGTGTGATAGCAGACATTACGTGTGGTAATGAAAAAAGTATGTACAGTTGGACAAGGTTAAAAACGTCTTCATAGTACATCGTTTTCACGCCGGTACGAGTCACTGAGTCGATCATAATAAAACCTTTCTGGCTCTCTAACGGACACCAGCCAACTTCTCCAAGGGCCTACACCAACGGGTGCTAGCAACAGCCGAAACAGTGGCTATACACCTGCCGAATCCAATGCTGTGTTGTCAGAAGCCGCTACTACCACTTCCGCGGTTAACGCCAACGCCAGATGGCCATCGCATATCGCCACCTCCATCTGGTGACAGTTTTCACTCCACGAAACCGACCCATGACCAATACTCACAGCTTTCTTTATTTCCCGTCTGTTAGTCTAGTGATCCATCGATCTCGCCATGCTGGCGGCGAGAAAACGATAAGTTTCAATCATAAAATCCTTATTGACCCTGTCCAACTGCACTATTTTCGTTGTCCATACAATTGTATCGCCCCGATGGTAAACTGCCGAGAACATATGTTTGCTAAGTTGATTTTTTAAGTATAACCTGTGAATAATTGCAGAACTTGAGGAGTTCTTTGGAAGTGATGACATTAAGGTACGCAAGGAGGACAGAGAAAATCTCCATGATTAATAATTTTACCCACGTACTTTGCAAACGCGCTTTGTCAAGGTCCGTAATGGAAAACTAAATATTAAACCTTTGCTAGATGCAAGCAAAATAGTTAATTTAGAATCTTCTTTATTTGCCTACGGACTTAAATTGAAGCTCTTACGATGTGTACTTAAGAAAATTAAATATAAATCGGCTAACTATCGTCAAGTAAAATTAATGATCTGGTAGACCCCTGGGCGATTCTCCCTGATCTAAGACCGATTCTGTAAAAAAGAAACTTGTTAGAGGGGTTGATAGTGACCAGCTCTCTCCCTCTAGCTAGAACCCCGTGTGACATACTAGACAAGACTTCTAATGTGAACTGGAGTTAAAGCTGACTGCATGCAGGACTAAGAGAAATTTGGGCGAACGTTCTAGCATTGTAAATGCTAAAAAGCCTGCCAGACGTTCACAGTACCAAGTCTGGTTGGTCTGTCATATTTTCTTTTGCTAGCGACAGCTAAGTATCTAGCTATAATTCGACTGAAGTGGACGTTCACGATTCCATATTATTTTTCACTCATAATTCCTGAAGCGTGCAGATACACAACCTCTGAATAAGCAATATGTATATAAGTTTATTTCATCGGTAGGTAAAAAATTGTTAAAAGTTGGAATAACTATCGTTCTCTTTAATATAATGATACACAAGGTTAATGTGAAATAAATCAACCGGGTTAATCAGCCGTAAAAAGGGTAAAAAGATAAAATAAATGGCATACTTTGGATTCAAGGCGAAGAAAATTAGGCTTAGAAAAGCAAAGTTTCCACAGAATTGAAGTTCATTTGGCTGCTGACTTTTTCTATCGATTTAGAAAAATCCTCTGCGGGTGGCTGCATGGGCGTCGGGACGTTGCTTGCGGCGGGTAGGCAGCGTTTGTCAAGCTTGACATAAAAGAATATAACAATTAGTCTGAAGTGTTTTAGTTGTTTTATTCGTTATCGTTAAAAGCGCAAACATTGTTTTAGAAACAGTTTAACCTCATACTGATCACAATGTGCTCCATAAATTCCGCAAGATTTACATATATGAGCATAAGCTGGCCGTACGACGGGGCGATGAATTATCGCAAGTTGTTGCTCACACCTAGGAAACGGGCTATGAGTTCAACTTCGTAGCCGTTAAAGTACTCACTCACGCTAGAATCAAGATGAGCCGAAGAGTAATTGAAGCCTGGTTCGCGGACGGGAACTCAATCAGTCGGTATATGCATTTGGCGCTTGCGTTTAGAGCCCTGCGCGATCACCCCCAGACATGCGTCACTGATAGTTGAGTAGTTTACATTTCCTATGATTGCCCCCATGTTGTTTGCTGATGTTACCTCAAACGCTGAACTCCTGTAAGCGCTTTAAAGTTCAGGACAATAGACGAACTGTTGTGGAGCTCGAAAAACCTTCGTCTTTACTGCTATAAATAGTGAGGGTTCTGAAATGCCTTACCTAATAAACGGGTCTTTTATAGAAGCCTGAAGGTCCAGACGATGGAGCAAAGTGAACGTCTAGATGTTTTCGTACTCGAAATTATGAGCGAATCACGAAGGCAAAAAGTGAAGATAAAATTGGATCGAGGATGACTTATGCCACATTAGGTCGCACTGTGTCATTTACTTATTTTTCTTAATTAGCGAACTATGCAAACTTAAAATGCCGCCACCTGATACCCATCATTCAGCTATGGCTCCACGAGGTTAGGCACCACTTCAGGGCGACACCCTGGTAATCGCCTCAACAGACTGGCTAAAGCAGATGAGGATATCCGATGTTGTTTATCTTCACGCACGGTACCGCCACCACTACCATTGACGTCATCTGAAGTGCACGCTGTCGACCCCCAGACTGGACTGACGTCAACGATGCCCAGATGAGCAGAGTAGTTAAAGAGAAGAACCTACTACACAAAGCTCGCATGCCGTGACGCCAAAAATGCGACCTTCTGTGAATATCGTCACCGTGTACAGCAACCGCTGGATGGTCCGCAAAGCTGATGAAATGCAAGGGTGCGCGGCACGAAACGAAGTGAAGAACGTCCTTAAATTTATCAAAGTTCCTGCATCAAAAGAAACCGCGTCGCTGCTCAGCTCCTATGGAACAGCATTACTGACGGGATATTTAACGCTGAGCCGAGCATGTACGAAGTCCTAAAGTGCTCATCATCTATCTACGATGCTGGCAACAACAGGTTTCTAATAGAAGTGAATATGCCATTTCCAGGAAGCACTTTAGAAGAAGAAGATGCGACCACTAGAACAAGAGTTTTATTTTCCTGACGTTTCGGATTCTGTCGAGAATCCTTGATCATAGGTAACGGTAGGATAGTCTGAGCCATGCGCAGATATGGTTGATACATGCACAGACTGCACAGATCATGCTCTTTGCCATGCTGATGGCGCACCTCGGCATCGCCTAAAGCACTAATTGGCATATTCTCAAAAGCCGGCGCCTGCAAGCCCAGGGAGTGTATCTACGAGTAGAAATCACGACTTGCATTTCACACACGACTTCACACTTAACACCGCGGTGGAAAATAGAACGCAAAAGAGCAGTTGTTAAACAGTGTGACGCGCTATCATGGTACGCTAAAGACCGTGTCTTGAGATACTGCCAACTGATTAGGGGTGAGTTGGACCGCGCAGAGGACGCTGCATATGTGTTTGAGTGTGTTGGTCAGTTGGCGGACCGAGAGTCAGGCTCTAGTCGCCCCTTCTTGCTGTGGCCTCTGTGAAACTCCCACTACGCGAGAGCCGCGCCAGGTGTGGCGGCAGGGTTAGTGGCAGCCAT